CTACTCCTGTACCACTGAAAATGTACATGTTCGTTATTTTCACACTGACAGCCACTAGAGGGCACTCTATGCTTGTGTACCAGTATCTGCTACTCCTGTACCACTGGAAATTCACATTTGTTATTTAATTTCCATGTTCGTTATTTTCACACTGACAGCCACTAGAGGGCACTCTAGGCTCGTGTAACAGTATCTGCTATTCCTGTACCACTGAGGAGGAGGGAGGGAGGAAGGAAGGTAGGGAAGATAGTTGGCCCGTACGTACGACACTTAATAACGCAAAAACACAATACGGGAGACTCGCGCGAGATGCTTACAAATGTCAACGAGACACGTCAGCGTCTAGAAGCATGCTCATATTTTAAATCTTTACTCGTATCTCAAAAGCAAAAATGTGCTTGCTCGTATCTTGGAATACTCAAGGTGTTCAAATGGATGATAGAATTCTCCAATTTTGCCACTTAAAACAACTAGTTGTAGATTGACGTATGGCTTGTCCCTTTTTTGCATCAAGTAACTCTTACTCAAGGTAAAAGTATTTTTAAACTTTTACTCGAGTAGATTTTTGGATGGATACTATTACTTTTACTTGAGTAGAATTTAAGAAAAGATTTAAGAAAGTTTTTTACTTCATTTTTTGTACTTTTTTTCCACCTCTGATTAGCAGTGCTTCTCAATTATTTTCTGTCATGCCCCTCCTTGGGGACAGAAATGCTTTTACACCGCCCCAGGTCCCCTCCTCTGACCCACACCACCACAAATTGAAATACTATTGAGAACCTGATAACATTTAAAATTTGTATTTGTGCAAAACAATGTATGAGTTGCTGCCACCTAGTGACTGGAGGTTTGTTATCATTCAAGCATTAAAGCAGTGCTACACTTATCTCCAGCGTGCCATATTTTATTGGAAGCCCCTCGCACCCCCCCGCCCCCCGGCACCTCACCACGCCCCTTCCCACCCCACTATTTGAGTAGTACTGTATTAGAGTAAACCTAATCGTGAAATGGACTCAAATCAGATCCACTTGAACTTGAACCGCCAACCTGACACTGACCTGCATCTGAGGGCTCAGCATTTTGGATTACCAAAGCTCCGGGTTCTGACACATGATGCTTCTTTTTCTTCTTCTCATCCTGTCTGTTTAGGCCACGCCCCTCCTGGGATATAATTGGTGCCGGCACAGCCTCTGAGCTCACCTTATCATGTGATAGTGAGAAAGAGGACATGAGAGGCTGTGACATCATGACATTACTGCCCTTGTAGGAGAATCTCTAGTTAGTGAAAAGTGCACAAGACATTTAACAGCGGCACACAACACATGGGATCACACCTACTTTGTCTCCTGCAGGCGTAACCCAGTAGTACTGGGAGACAGGGTCAGCATCAGCCCAGCACTCTAATCGGATTGGCTGCCCGGTGCTGACATTCATGACTGATGGAAAGGAGTGAGGAGAAATAAGAGGCAAGCAGCTATTGGCTGCGCCACCTCCCCAGGCTACCAGCTCCTGCAACTCTCGACCAATGAGGCTCTGCGGAGTAGAGCAAGTGGTGATGGACGACTCCAGTAGTTTTACGTGAGAGTGGTTACCGAGGTAACGCCCCCATGAAGAGAGGCAGTCGCATCGAAGCGGGTTGGAGTGCAGTGACAACTCCTCTAGAGAGGGAAGCCACGAGAGGAGGTCACCTGACAGGAGACGGAGATTACTGTTGTGGAGGAGGAGTGTCCTTAAAGACGGCAGAGCGCTAAGGAGGACATGTTGGAGGGGAAGAAAAAAAAAATGTTTTCAGATTGAGTCATGTGAAAAAACAAGGAGTAACATTTAGAAGATTTAGATAAGTAGTGATGGCCAAATGAAGTTTTCTAAAGCTCTGAGTCCTTGTATCAACAGAGTGCTCATGTATTCAAAGCATTTTAACGTAGTCTTCTTTGGTGACATCTGGTGGCCAAAAGTATGACATTAGATTTTGGCTCGATTTAAACCCGTGGTTCTCAATTATTTTCTATCATTCCCCCCTTTGGGGACAGAAATGTTTTAACCCCCCCCCCCCATCCCACCCTCACGACCCACACCAAAGCGAATTGTATATTTGTATAATGTACAGTATATGTATAAAATGTATATTTTTATCTGTACAAGTGGACCCGCCCCACTATTTGAGAAGTGCTGATTTACACTAAGAAAACGACATGTTCCACATATGATTTTTTTCAATACGCCACGATCTCAACTTGTAATGGTGAATTTCCACAAGGCTCACATTACACATGCACTCGAAAGAACGAAGGAAGTACTTTATATGATGAGCATTTTCAAATTCCATTTCCAATAAAATTGTTCACAACGGTTTCAAGAATCAAAGTCTTGGTTGGTCATTCACTATCGATATGTCTCAAATCGATTCAAGCGTCACTTTTAGTGTCTCTCTGACAAGATCACCAGCACAAATTCAGCTGTGGATTCACGTTCTTTTAAAGACTAAGACCAAAACAAACGAAGCCTCGACACACGGTACTCTCTGAAGCACTGCATTGTTTTATCTGACACAAGCGCTTTTCGAGCTTTAGTTTCAAACCCACCATCACCACTGAAAAGGCGAAGAAGATGAGCTCACCTGAAGGCCTGGGGGTCAATGTAGGACAGTTGTTGATTGTTGCAGAGCTCCAGTTTGACCAGCTCTGGAAGATTCTGGAAGGCTTTTTGTTCTACTATCATCAGATCGTCCATGTTGTTTAGACTGAAACACAAGGTAAAGACATTTAAATTGCAGTATTATCTGGATTATAATAAATCCTTTAGGTGGGGTCAGGTGCAACATATATAGTGAAATATATAATTTCACATGTTCGTTATTTTGACAGCCGCTAGAGGGCACTCTAGGCTTGTGTAACAGTATCTGGTACTCCTGTACTACTGAAAATGTACATGTTCGTTATTTTCACACTGACAGCCGCTAGAGGGCACTCTAGGCTTGTGTACCAGTATCTGCTACTCCTGTACCACTGAAAATGTACATGTTCGTTATTTTCACACTGACAGCCACTAGAGGGCACTGGTGCAACTTATACTCCGGAGCAGCTTACAGTCCGGAAAATAGAGTAAACGAAACAAACACAAAAGTCACAAAGAAGTGGACAAAGAAACCTAAAATCCCTGCTCGTCCCTACATTACTGAAATTCTGGTTCCTTGATATCACTTGACAACTTGAAGTGTTTTAGGAGATGATCCTGTCCCTCCTGTTGAACTGTACATTCTGTCTTACCTGAGCTCTTCCAGATGCTGAAGGTTCTGGAAGTCCCCCTGCTGGACTCGGCTGATCGGATTCCGATTCAGGTCCAAAAACTTCAGGTTAGGTAGCACATTCAAAGCGTCACGTGGAACTGACCTGCAGGGGACAAGACCCATCAGCCAGTGTTATCAACAACCAAGAAAGTTGCAGTGTAAGGCTTCACACACCGACCCACCTGAGCTGGTTGTCATAAAAGGACAGACTCTCCAGGTAGTCCAGACCCAGGAAAGCAGCAGAAGGAACCGATGCCAGGCCCATCCCTGCCAGAACCAGGCTATGAAGCCGGGACAAAGGCAGGAAGTTTTTCTCCTCCAGACCAAGAATGGGGTTTTCGCCAATCATTAGGATCTCCAAGGAAGGCAGAGACTCGAACCAGCGACTGTCAATCGCTATGAGCCGATTTGAGTTCAGGTGGAGCCTTTAGATCCAAGAAGGAAAGTAAAGAAAAAGACACTGTGAAAAGAATACAATATATAGCACAAAGAAAAGTAGAACATTATGGCAGCAAAAAAAAAAAACAAAAGAACAGGACAAAAACTTGAAGGGGAAACATGCAGAAAAAAAAACTTGGTCCAGAATTACAGAAGTCAGAACAAGATGGAGAAGTACAGGGTACCTCAGCAGGTTGTTAAGCCCAGCAAAGGCATCCGGTGCGATGGAGGTGATGTGGTTGTGGTTGAGATAAAGCTCTTCCAGGCTGCTTAGGTTCCTAAGACTGAAGTCCAACAGCTCCTGGATCCGGTTCTCCTCTAGGTAGAGAGTAACCAGGCGACCCAGAGAACTCAAACCCATGGAGCTCACCTGGAAATACAAGAAGGTACTGTAAATGCAAAAGTTCCCAAAGTTGGGGGGGTGGGAGTGCCCTCTAGGAGGTGCTTAGTGTCATTGCAACGGGGGGTTGTGGAGGCAATGAGGGCGCAAAGATTTCCTTGGGATTCAAAGGGAGGCCCAGAGAACTGACAGAGAACGTTTGGCAAGCGCTGAATTAGTGTTTGCCGTCGGAGTGTGTGTGTTTCACCTGTGTGAAGTGGTTCTGAGACAGGTCCAGCTCCGTCAGGTTTGTCAGACTCTGAAGTTCAGTCACGATCAATGAGATGTTGTTACTCTGCAGCAGAAGAACCTGAAACATGATTAACGTCTGTATCAGTTCGGCTCATGATGTCACCGCGACCTATGGAATCTTGTATTTGCGTAATGTTGACCTTTCAAACCTGGGTGTAAGATCAGACATCCTTTTTACCTGTGTGTCGGATGATACGTTGGGGGGAACTCTGCTCAGATGAAGTTCGTTGCAGTCCACGGTTCGGGCCTGATGATAAACAGACTGAGGTGTGTACCAGGGCCGGGTCTCACACACACACTGCAGAGGGCAGAGGACTACAGGGCCAACTGTTGGACACAGACGATCTTGTTTAAAAACTGATGAAATTCAGTAGACTGAGTAGTGGTAAACTGAATGTATATATATGTATATATATGTATATATATGTATATATATGTATATATATGTATATATATGTATATATATGTATATATATGTATATATATGTATATATATGTATATATATGTATATATATGTATATATATGTATATATATGTATATATATGTATATATATGTATATATATGTATATATATGTATATATATGTATATATATGTATATATATGTATATATATGTATATATATGTATATATATGTATATATATGTATATATATGTATATATATGTATATATATGTATATATATGTATATATATGTATATATATGTATATATATGTATATATATGTATATATATGTATATATATGTATATATATGTATATATATGTATATATATGTATATATATGTATATATATGTATATATATGTATATATATGTATATATATGTATATATATGTATATATATGTATATATATGTATATATATGTATATATATGTATATATATGTATATATATGTATATATATTGTATATTACTTACTTTATTACTATATACTGGAGTCGTCCATCACCATATATTGTTTGTTGTGAAAATGACTGTTGGACATTCTTCTTCTCAACCATAGCGGTCTCTTTCGCCATTATTTGCTCTGCAGCGACACTAGCGTCGGTCTTCGTTTGCCGTTTGTCTTCGTGTGAGCATCGGCATCGACTGCTACTTTGAAATAAGGCCAGTATTGGGCCTTATACCAAGTACGGCGGACCGAGGTGGTTGCAAATGCCTAGCCTTTTTGAACAACTTTGTTCACGAACAAAATCTTGAACCAAAGATTGCCCCAAACGACGTATCATAACTTGGTTGCAGAACAAGCCAACAATATTACACAGCTAGCAAGTTATCTCTGAGTGTCTGAGCGTGCGACGCCACTCTTGCCTGAGCCCGCGCTAGGGATATACAGGCTAAGAACTGTTTTTGCAGATTTTGCCGGTATTTCTTGAGCTGTGCTGTTTCTTCTATTTTTTTAGAACGACGTTCATGTTTCAGATCTGGTTTACAGTACGGCTTAGCAAAGTCGTCGATTTGTACCATCATTAAGAACAAAGGAGAAATAAAAGAAGCTGAGGTCGCCAAAGGAGCGACTGTGATCACCAGGCAAAGATCTCAGACATTAGAAGAAGTGGAAAAGTTGCTACTGATTTGGATCAACGAATAGCAGTTGGCCGGCGACAGTATTTGAAGACGACAATTTGTGAGAAAGCGAAGCAAACATTGCGCAATAACGACTACTCAGCACCGGTAAGGATGAATGTAATTGCCTTTCCTATTGATAGATTTCATTTTTATTCAGTTGTGTTTATCGTTTTTTTTGGTTTCCTGTATGAACCTGTGCACAAAATACTGTTGTAAAAGTTTGAAACGGATTAATCCATTTACATTGATTCCTATGGGGAAAATTGTTTCTGTTTCGGTTTACTAAGAGCCTTCAGGAACAAATGAAGTTTGAAAACCGTTCCACTCTGTGGTACTCGCCCATCCCTACTTTCAATATTAAGTCATCTAAACAACCATGCAGCTTCTTTTTTTTACCTTCAGCAGATCCAACTACTTCAGAAAGCAATGGCGATGTCAACAGGCAGAGAAGGGCTTTGAAAAGAACTGCAGCGCCCATGATGGACATACCCAGGAGGAGAACTGATTAAAATATGAACACTTGGAGACAGTCAGTAGCACCAGCAGAGTCTCCGACACCACTGAAAAAGAAGAAAAAAAAAGACAAGGGGAAAGACCCAAACATTACTAGGTGCAGAGATATTTTATAAACTAAAATAACACAACGCCTCACTTTCCTTACAGCAACTTTGTTATGGGTAAAAAAACAGATGTCTGATTCACCCATGTAGCTGATCCAGCCATGCATGAGGCACTGCAAATGCTCCAGGAAGATAAATAAATTAAGACGAAAGAGATGAAATAAATTTGGCTTTTAGGCAGACTTTTCCAAACTCACTATAAATATATAAACAGCTTACCCCTCTACAACAAGCGTCCATAGATAGATCTCTTTAGCTAATGCCACTGCTAACCATTTTGTTATTTTGTGAATTCATTGTTTAAAATCCTTCATGCAGTTTTACGCCAGTGGCACAGACTCACCACAGGAGGCAGCAGTAGACCAGCAGCTCTTGTGTCCCAGTGAGCTAATATTGCTATGTTTTTTTTTTTTTTTGCTTTCATTCATTCAATTCAATAAGTGGGACGATTTTGGCCCGCAGGCCGTATGTTTGAGACCCTCGCTCTATGCCAGGGGTGTCAAACTAATTTTCACCAGGGGGCCACATCAGCAATACAGTTCCCCTTGAAGGGCCGGTTGTAACTGGAAGACTGTATAGATCAGGGGTCACCAACCCCTAGTGCGCGGACCAGTACCAATCCATAGGTCATTTGGTACCGGGCCGCATGTACTTCATTTTTACTAATATACTTCATTTAAAAAAAATCCAGTTATATCTATTTATTTTCTTTATTTAAAGATAATCTGGCAATATTTTAAAATAATAGGTCAAATCAGACTCTGGTTTATTTTGACCAGTCCTTGGAACAAAAAAGGTCAGGGACCACTGGTATAGATGTAACAAT